CACACCTTTACTTCAATTTACAGAAATTATCATTTGAATTGAGACGCTTTTGAAGTACGAAAGACAATTCATTAACAGTGAAGAAAACAGCCTTGTGTAATCATCCATGCATATTAATAGCGCATTAGTTGCAATATTATTATTAGCTTACACAATAACTATGGTTAGTTTTCATAAAAGAATGTGTAAAAAATTACACTCTCTGTTTAATGATTCTAATTGCGACACGTGTACAGCCGATGGCCCGTCATCGTCAAACTGTTAAATGATTTTAACGCATCATTATCTACGTTTATACCGATCAGGTGTAAAAGCTATGATACCCGAAATCGCACAATAGGAGCTGATGATGATTTCTATGTTTCTGAAAACGAAAGACAAGTCACCAAAAGGGATGTCCGTATTGTAATTACGGTCAAACCATCTAGACATGTCACAATTTACGGGCTGCAAAGTGTTGAAAGAAATCTTCTAGTATACAGCGATCAACTCGAGCCACCCAGACAAGCCACTATCTAGAAGACAGTGTAATTTTTTACAGATAGTGTAATTTTTAATGCGCTATTAATATGCATGGATGATTACACAAGGCTGTGTATGTTTACTTTCAAGGATGAGAGCAGTAAAAGCGAGAAAAAAGCATCATAAATGCAAACTATCAATCATGATTACACCCATGATTATCCAATTCCTCATATATTGCAGACAGCCAAGTGAAAAAAGAGTTCATGTTCTACATTCATGTTCTATTTGCATAATCGCTGTGTGATGCGCTAATGATAATTGTAACGCTGTCATATATCGGTGCATTTCATCTGTTTTATCAACAAATTATCACACCTTTACTTCAATTTACAGAAATTATCATTTGAATTGAGACGCTTTTGAAGTACGAAAGACAATTCATTAACAGTGAAGAAAACAGCTATAGTTAAATAAGAACCATGAACTAACACTCAGACTCTGCACAGGCATTTCATGTTATTATGTGGCAAATGACTACTTGTACCTCAGATAAGAAAAGAAGAACGCAATTCTGTAAAAAATGTCTCTATATGTATTTTGGGTCTGGGCACCAGTTTACTAGAAGTAATAGATAGGATCTCAAACACAGTACATTACATATACACTATCATTGTTCAAAAAACTCTACGATAGTCAACAGCTGTGATGGTAGAGCAGCTACCTCAAAAAAGAAAAAAAAAGAAAAATTTGGAGTAATCATTGTCGTTTACTTTCCAGTTAGATCATTTCTTTTCATTCATCCGTCTGTTTCGAACTGCATCCGATAACAGTTTCAATACGTCTAGTGTCGAGTCCCATCCAATACACGAATCAGTTACCGATTGTCCATATACGAGTCGATCTTTTTCACCTTCTATCAACACCTGGTTACCACTTTCTAAATTCGATTCAATCATAACACCCATAATTGTCCGATTCGTCGACGATGCTATCTGTTGACATACATCTTGAATAACAAGCAGTTGATTTTCATAGTGTTTCAAAGAATTCCCGTGCGAACAATCGATCATGATTTGTGTGTTCACCTTGTGCCGGTCCAACAAATGTTTGGTATCTGAAACATGTTTTTGACTGTAGTTTGGTCCCGTCGCTGAGCCACCTCTCAGCACAACATGAACATCGTCGTTGCCCCATGTGGTATTACATATAATGCTACCATAAGGATCGAGTGACAAATATGTGTGACCGGTTCTACTTGATACACAAGCATCCACGGCGATTTGTATGTTGCCTGTTGTACTGTTTTTGAAACCAACCGGCATGGGTAGACCGCTGACAAATTCCCGATGTATTTGTGATTCCGTTGTTCTCGCACCAATGGCTATCCAACACATTAAATCGGCAATGTAATGAGAGAGTATAGGATGTAGAAATTCGCATGAGCACGGCAATTGAAGACGAGTGATGTCCAACAACAATTGTCGAGCCATTTTCAAACCGAGATTGATATCATTTGTACCATCTAACAGTGGATCATTGATAAGACCCTTCCATCCATAGGTTGTACGAGGTTTCTCGAAATAAACACGCATAACAATCATCAATGTGGATTCATACAACTTTGCTTGTTCACTCAATCGAGCAGCGTATACCATCGCTTCATCAACATTGTGGATTGAGCATGGTCCAATGATGACTAAAAGACGATCATCATCTCGGTCGTGGACGATATTCGATATTTCCTGACGTTTATCTACGATGAATTTTCTCATTGATGGTGGACATGGCAATTGCTCCAAGAGTACATTTGGACTTGTCAAGAATTTCAAATACTTCACCCGTGTCAGCTGACCTATATAAAAAATACAAGACAGCACATAAAATAAAGTACAGAATTTCTTTTTGCGTTGTTCTATTATATATTTCTTCCGTATTAATGTGCATCATAATGCATTAAAAACGAATAAACTTAAATTCAAAGCAAATAGAAGAGAAGATTTAACGTTAAAAATCTTGCCGACCCACGAAAACACTATTGATATTCATTATCCTTCTCTTCTCTTCTCCTCTGGTTATTTTATTTTTTATTGAATCCTTTAGATAGATTCGGAGATGGAGTCTGTTAAAATTATACTGGTGTTATATGTAGAAGGTCTGGCTACTTTTAAACACCAAGCGAAAACACTTTTCGAACTTCAACTATTCATTTATATATGGAGCACGGACATGTGCATAAATTCTGCTTCTTTTGAAAAGTATTATCGTTAAACTTTTAATTGGATTTTCTGAACAACGAAACGATCTAGAAGAAATCTGAGAACGCTGCTTTAAGGTTCATGCCTAGTTCCAGCAGGCTGGATGCCTGAGATCTTCAGTATACACTCTAAGTACAGCTTTGAGACAAGAAATCACATCATTTAATACGTTAAAACAAATGACTCTAGGAAGCTCTAACCCATTTCTGTTACATCAACTATTTTCTCTTATAGAAGGCTCATATGTGAGAACAAGTTTATTTTACATATAGAAAGGGTGTCAACCGCAGAGTGGTGTATTAACATGCGTTAGAATTTAACCATGATCCGTCCGAACCCCAGACGAAAACGAGTGCTTTGAAGATATGTCCTGCTGCTCTACCAATGAGTGGATGCAATCAGTTCATATTGATATATCAATATGAACTGATTGCATCCACCCAATGACAATAGGGTGTTTTTGGAGATAAACACTTACTCGGTTTCATATAGCTTTGGTCTTCAACCGGCTGTTCTTCATGACAACTATTATGTTCACTATGTCCCTTTGTTGTAATAACATCCTGCAACGAGCTGGTTTGATATTCAACAGCTGTTTGTTGGTTGTCACGGGTTGTAGCATGGAAGTCAAACTTGCTTGGTGGTACTATTTTTGATAAAATTGTTTCATCATAATAATCATTACATTGACTACTGTATTCATTTGATGTTATGGCCGTCATCAGCATCGGTAGTAGTAATTTAGTAAAAGCAAGCCGAGTTCACCTCTTCTTCTGCTTACAATTTGTAACAAATATATAAAGAAATATTTAGATATACACCTGTTTGAGGTTTTTTTTATTTTATTTCTTTTCTCCCTTATATATTGTTTTTGCGTCCCACGAGTCTTCAGTTGGCGTTCTGTTTCATTAAACATCATTCAGATATATTTTAACCACCGGACAAGTGGGTGATAATTATTGATATACACCTTTGTTCTCTTGAGTCAGTTTTGATTTGGAGACCACATTGATAAATTAGGTTTTATTATTGATAGTACTTTTGCTCACATTCAAGATAGCTGCGGTGATTGGCCAGTTGGATATTGTACTACGCCCGATAGTTGGTCTGAATAGTTTTGTGAGTCATATACGTTTTTAGTTTTCCTTCTATCCTTAGTGAACATGCATGTAATGGGGTGGTTAAGTGTACTAGCTAACTTTGCCAGGCCTGCACACTGTAAAAAGTTTATTTTCCATGTTAGCTAAACAAGTGACCACACCACTTCACGGGTGTTCACTAGTTGTGCAGAGGTCTTATTGAACATCATTTATGCCTCTCATCCGTTACCTTCACTCTTCGTTCGGGTCTAGGCACAATAGCTGCTGCTCTCGATACGAGACGATACGGCGAAGCAATACTGAACACACTCAATAATTTGCAATCGACTCAAAGTCTTCTATGCCAGCCTGCTTTTGATAAAAAAGTACAATAGTTATTGATGTAGATGTTCCAAAACTAACAACACATGATAAGTTGAACGACGAACTGTTTGAATGAAATCAAGACTCTCTCTTTCCTCTTCTGAGTTTTCAGTTTTTAGCGAAGGTTTCGTTTAGTGATTAACTTTTTTCTCTGGTTTAGATTCTAATCCATCTAATGATAAATCACAGCTTAAGAAAAACACTGCTGTAGCAGAGTTACGTGATTGATCCGATCAGGTTTTTCAGAAAGAAGAGAAACTTCGACTACTAGATAAATCACCCGAAATTTAATAAGTTCACTTCACCTTACGCCTCGGTTTTCGCTCGTAGATACTAAACAATGGTGCCGTGGAAACCTCAGAAATTAAGATTTAAACTTTTTGAGGGAAAAGGTTTCTTTTCGGGAGGGTTCTGTCCGAAGAAGCCAGATTTTTAATTGTCATATCTTTTGTCTCAATTTAAACAGTCTTTGAGCCAAAAAATCAAAGTCCATAGCCGGATTCTTCAGTAAATTTGAAGTTCTTCGGTCAGCAGATCTTCAGAAAGTAAATGTTTTCTATTGAGAACTGGAGAATTGGAGAACTCAAAATGAGTTCTATACACAGTCAAAGAATCCCCACATATTTTCAAAGAACTCATATCAAATCTCTATAGAAGACCAATGAAAAACATAATTTCTGATTTCTAGAGAACGCAGCTTTTTAACAATGCAGGCAATGACGCCTTTAACTATAAGTCTGTTCTGGAAGAAGCTATTAGAGCGCGCCGGTCTACCATACTATATCGATGACTGCTAGGATATAAGTCTCAGGACACTATCAAACATCGGTAACGGCATGTCTCTCCTTTTTAACAAAACTCTCTATTGGATTCAACACAGTCTGATGTAGAAAAGCCTGGGCTACGAAATAAGACCGCTTATGAACTATTGCACAATTATATGATAATCTGCCATGGTAATCTTTCATTAGTATACCATTGTTTCCTCAATTCAAGCAAAAACGCGCTTCGTTGAGAATCACAGAATACATGCAGAGTTTCAAACTGTTCCGTGACTAATTTTTCCAAAATAAACCGCTAAAACTGTATTATGCTACACAATTTTTTGTTTTCAAAGCTACTTCGACCAAAAATAAACTATTTATAATCGTAATAATAATACACTATTTCTTTCCATTAATGAAAGGGCCATTTTTGACGAACACGATCTTTGACAAGGTTTTGCGCGATCTCAAATGGAATTTATGTGCACGTAGGATAAAAAGTGTATCAACGTTTTTCTACTTTGTTTTTAGTTTGAGAATTCAAATGGTTGTGATCGTTGAAATACAATAAAGAGATGATCTTTTTTTCTTGCTCAAATCATTTACCACACAAAATGTTTCCACTCTTTTGGGTTCAATCAACTATTATCCACGCCAAACAGCCGCTTCCTGGCTAGTTTTTGAATAACTTCTGATAGAAAGGTGATAGCGATCTGCAGTTTTCAGATTCTGAAAATAGACACTTTCCCACAGGTGACATGTGCTCTAATCCTCTTACGCTGCGTAATGTTCGTTCAGCTAAATAACTCCACATGACAAACATCACCGTTCCATTTTCCAGCGACCGGCCTACTTAGATGCTTCACATATTTCCTCAGTACGCACATAACGCGTAATGAGATATTTCGTTTTTTTGAAATATTTCAGATATTCGAGATATTTGAGATAGTTGCTCAGTATGTGTACCACGCGTATTGAGATATTTGGTATATCTGAGATATTTGAGACATTTCCTCAGTATGCATAATACGCGTATTTAGATATTCCGTATATCTGAGATATTTGAAATATTTCAGATATCTGAAATATTCCCACAGCGTGCGTAGTACGCGTATTGAGATATTTGGCATATCTGACATATTTGAGATATTTGAGATATCTGCTCAGCATGCGTAATACGCGTATTGAGATATTCCGTATATCTGAGATATTTGAGATATTTGAGATATTCGAAATATTTCCACTGCATGCGTAGTACGCTTATTGAGATATTTGCTATATCTGAAATATTTGACATATTTGACATATTTGCCAAGTATGTGTACTACGCGTATTGACATATTTCGTACATATGAGATATTTCCTCAGCATCCGCAGTACGCGTATTGAGATATGTCGCATATCTGAGATATTTGACATATTTACTCAGCATGCGTTGTAGGCGTATTGAGATATTTGGTATATCTGGAATATCTGAGATATTTGAGATATTTCCTCAGTATGTGTAATATGCGTTTTGAGATATTTGGTATATCTGAAATATCTGAGATATTTGACATATTTGACATATTTGCTCAGCATGCGTAGTACGCGTATTAAGACATTTGGTATATCTGAGATATTTGAAATATTGGAGATATTTGCTCAGTATGCGTAATACGCGTATTGAGATGTTTGGTATATGTTGGATATCTGAAATATTGGAAATATTTTCTCAGCATGCGTATCTCAAATATCTCAGATATCTCAGATATACCAAATGTCTCAATACGCGTACAACGCATGCTGAGCAAAACATCTGATATATTTCCGCAGTATGTGTAATACGCGTATTGAGATATTTGGTATATCAGAGATATTTGAGATATATGCTCGGTATGCGTAATACGCGTATTGAGATATTTGAGATATATGCTCGGTATGCGTAAAACGCGTATTGAGATATTTCGTATATCTGAAATATCTGAGATATTTTGTCAGTATGCGTACTACGTGTATAGAAATATTTGGGATATCTGAATCAGTGGACCTAGACATTGCGTATCTGAGGACATTCCAGTTGTCCGACAGTTTTTGAGATGAAACAATAGCAGGTAAAGAAATGTCGATTTAGGACAAGAATATGTTTCTAATGCATATTTAAAGTTTGTGAAATATGTAAACATTCGTTCCATCTGATCTGGGTATAGTCGTGTGGTGGACATGTCACTGTTGATAGTGTGATAGAAGACGTGATATACCGGGCAATACTAGTGTAAGTGGAATTAAAGCTATCTCCTCAGTTTGAACAGTATAGTGTATAATGGCTCACTTTCATGCTACCGCCCCCCTCCCCCCGCCTCTCTTGGCTGGGTGTCGTGTATATCCGATTGGTGAATCTAGACGTTCTTGAAAGTTACTTATCTTACGCATCTCAATACACGTATACTGATCCAATATCTCAAATATCTCAGATATAGCAGATATCTCAATACGCGTATTACGCATACTGAGGAAATATCTGAAATATCTCAGATATACTAAATATGTCAATAGGCGTATTACGTATACTGAGCAAATATCTCAGTTATCTCGTTACGCAGTATATCGATTAGGTAGTTTTCAATACTTTACTCAAGAGTTTCGTTACGCGGCGTATGCATTTTTCCGCACTAGGGTTTGAATACGCAGCGTAAGAGTATTAGAGCATCTCTGCCACAAGTTTCACTAAGATAAAAACTAGTTTTGAAACTCCTTAGAAGATCCTGTTTTTCGACAATCTTTGGAAAAGAACGTTGTGGTTTCCGAAATTGAAATAGCAACCTATCGATTTCTTCGATAGATAAGTAGTCTGAAGTGTCTTCTTTAAATCTAGATTCAAGCAAACTCTGGATTTTCCTTAGTTTTCCAAGGGGGCTGAATTTTTCCGAACAAGCAGTATCCTTAGTTTTTGCGGTTTAAAGACCCCACAAAAAGTCGAAATATGGGTAACTGCCCTGAACATCGTGCGTCGTTAATTTTACACAAAAAAGAGTTTTCAACTTTAATATCAATCTTCATCTACAGGGCGTATCACTGCAGACAAGTTATATAACTTGGCTAAGCGCCAAAAGCTATTCTGTGTCAATACAGAGCTCGAATAAAGAATTTTAGTGCTGCAGACACAGTGAAAACTCTTTTTTGTGTAAAATTAACAACGCACGATGTTCAGGGCATCGTGGAATAATTGATAGGTTGCTATTTTAATTTCGGAAACCACAACGTTGTTTTCCAAAGGTTGTCGAAAAACAGGATCTTCCAAGAAGTTTCAAAACTAGTTTTTTTCTTAGTGAAACTTGTGGGAAAGTGTCTATTTTCATAATTTGAAAACCGCAGATTGCTATCATCTTTCTACCAGAAGTTATTCAAAAACTAGCCAGGGAAGCAGCTTTTTGGCGTGGATAATAGCTCTCCTATATAGAATAATAATAAACTTGATGAATATGGCTTAGCAACTGGCCAGTGAAAAAAAATACGGGGCTC